GAAACAGACGAGCGTCAGACAGCAGAGACGAATCAACTAATTGACCTACCACTCGATGTAGATATCGTTCGTCGACAAGCTACGCCACCAAAACAACTCCATTCAACATCGCCAATATTGACATGAAATCAGATCAATGAAACAGAACCCAGCAGTACTAATAGATAAATAAGCAGAAATAGAGCGATGGAAATTGTACAAATCACATCAGATGATGACTATTCCCGTGCTCAAGCACCACGTTCGCCGACATACAATAGACCCCGTAAAATGCGTACTAGACAGTCAAAGTGGTCCGATAGCAACTCTGAATCACCATCACAGATTGAAAGAAAAACACGCAGGCGTTCGAAACCACTACCCAAGGAGCGAGTAACCTGGGGTGTAACCAGAGAAATACACGGTCCGTCAAATATCGACCATAACGTATACAGACCAGACCTTGCCACACTTAAGCCGTAAAAGCTCGCAACCACAGATGAGCTTGTAAAAAGGACCAGACCAAACAATACAATAAAAACAAATTTAGACAAAAATTATTCCTTCATTGCGAAACCATCAAAGGACACTGCAGATATAAATAGAGCTCAACCAGTCCGACATAAGAAACAATGTTTAGATGAAAAAGAATTTTCCGACGATAACCAACAACGGGAAACAGTACGACCAGACAGAATAAATGAAATACATAAATTAAAAAGAATCAAAAAAATAAAAGAACCCCACAAAAGTTATTCTCGCCGACCGTCTAGTTCCTTCAGCTCATCAAGGGAAACTCATAGTGATAAAGACAACTACAGACGAAATAAACAATTAGAAAAAAGAAGATGTGTAAATAGGTACTGAGATTCGTACAGCGAAGACGATACATCAACAACAGTCGCTACATTAGAGCACCACAACGACCCGACCACTCAGATCGTATCCGATCACGACATATCCATCGACATAGAAGAAACAACAGATACTCATCGGAAAGTGAAAATGAAATTGAGCCACGGAACAGACGCTCAAAACATCGAATGGACTATTGCTCTCGATTAAGATCACGGTCGCAATCCAAAAACAGGAATAAACACACAGGATATAACTATTCTCGTGAACAATGGCGAGAACCGACCAGATATTATTCTGACACTGAAAGCTCGATCTCATCTTCGGAACCAGAATATGAATCGAGACATCGTTCACATAGACTAAGAAAACATGACAATGACACTGCCCGACGAGATCTTCGTAATATTAAGTTAGAAGAAAGCCATAAAATAAGATTTAATGGCACAGACGGACCTGAAGAATTTATTGGCCAAATCGAAGACCAGAAAAGACGTGTTAGAATGTCAAGTGATGAGCTACTGCAAGCAATAACAGCCGTGTTCTCCAAAGAAGTCAATTCGTGGTACCGGGGAATATCAAAAGAAATCTATTCGTGGCGAGACCTAAAAAGAGCCCTACGAGACCACTACGGCAGACGAATGACTGATGATGACATTGAAGAAGAATTCAGACGGCGAACACATAATGAAGGTGAATCAATAACAGACTACCTGAACGCCTTTTGATATATAGCCAGCCATTTTAAACGTCCTAGTTCCTTGCGACAACAAATTAAAATTGCTAGACGAGGACTCCTTCCGGCATACCGAAAATACATGTCTGACAAACGGATAGAGAGATTCAGTGATTTGACATATTATGGTCGAAAATGGGAAGATTTAGAGGAAATGGATGAAATTACCACCCACCTTCGACTAAGACACACTTTCCAGCAGCAGCACCAAAAACCGATAAAACAACAGCAAAGTCCTCAGCCGTACAGAAAATTGGAACAAAATCTGACAATACACGTGAAAACCCCCAAAACAATAATGGAAAAGACAATACAGGTAAAACAAAACAAAATAATACACAACAACAGACCAAACAAGGAAATATATATGCTGCACCCATGATGGCACAAATTGCAGCATACCAAGGACCTCACCAATACTTGGGCTTCCTACCAGTCAAACAAGAACGAACATGGACAAATCAAGAAAAATTACAGACAGCAAATAACAATCAGACCAATGGCAGAATGAATAACCGGAACCAACAGACACAAGGTTACAGTCAAGGTCAACAAACATCGAATGGTGTGGAAACAAGATGGAATTTGCCTTCACTGATACCATTTCAAAACAATCAAACAGATAATACAATGAATAATGATAATCAGACTAACAGACAAAACAGAGAGCCATGCAAATGCTGCCAGGGTGATCATAACTACCGACAATGCCCAAAGAATCCTTGTTTCTTCTGTTACCAACCAGGTCATTATGCAGCATCCTGCCCAAAACGAGAATCTTTATTCCCAAAAACGGGACCGAAAATAAGACAGACACACTGCCAAGTCTGTAAAAATATAGGTTCGCCCTTTGACTTTTGCAAATTTTGCCAACATATTCGTTCTGAGTTGTTGGGAAACGCGCTAGGTGGGGAGTAGACGAGCTCACTGCTTCCCCCCCGATTCTCAATAATGGGCCAACATAACCACACAAGGGAAATAGCCATGAAAATGGCCTCCCACATAGAAATTGATACAGACTCGGAAAAAAATACTTGCCCAATATGGGAAATATCATCAGGTGACGATAAAGGGATAAATGACCAGACATCAGATGAAGATGAAAACTTTACCGACAGACATACCACTCCAATAAATGGACAAGAACTATCCTGGATTGATGAAGAACCACTCAATAAGTTGCTAAAACGCCTTAAGGATCAAGAAACGTTACTATTCGACATGAATGGGGAGACGCTAAACAGTGAACAGTTGGTGGAAAACCTAGTATTTCCACCAGCTGAACAAGTGACATTAACAAACGAGATTGACCATCAGATCCCAGACAAAATAGATACTGTCGCACCTGAAATACAATCTGAAGGAACGCTTGCAGGAATGCCTAAAGGAATATTAAAAACCGTTAAATTTCTAAGCAAGGAAGAGATGATACAAACAAAAGATGAAGAACTGATAATACCCTCATAATCAGACCTATAAACAGCTAAGAAACCTAATAAAAGACACCAAGAAGCTGTAGATGAGGATAAAGACGAAAACATGACAGTGATATTGACTACACCCCCACAATCGATAGGAGGATTAAGCATAGACAGTAGGTGTTTCATACCGATTATTATTGGTAATATAGCATATGATACCTTAGTTGACTCAGGAGCGGAACTCTCACTGGTAGGACCAGAAATAACAGACACATTCAAAGGAAGACTAACCCCTAATTCCACTATGATACAAAGAATTACGGGAAAACCCGAGAAAACTATAGGCGAACTTCCCCAACAAATTAATTTTGACGGACATACACAGAAATTCAAATTTAAAGCAATGAAAAACCTGCCTGGACCGCCAATTATCTTAGGTTTAGACTTTCTGACACAATGGAATATGCTCATTCTCTTTCAAGAAAGGAAATGGAGAGTACATAATGAAAAATGGCACCACCTACAACCTAGACATTTGACACAACGAGAAGCTTTCTATGTAGAATGCGCTGGCCTCACAGAAATCACACCTGACCAAACTAAACGAATAAAAGAAATAACAGATCGTTTAATAACACCCATGACTGATAAACTAGGAAGAACACCGATAGTAAAACATATAGATGTAGGTGATAGCCAACCAATAATACAAGGATTACGACGAATGTCACCCGCAATACAAAAAATAATACGAACTGAAATACGGACAATGTACGAAATGGGCATTATCCGATCGTCCAAAAGTGCATGGCGTAGCGCACCAGTAATGATAAGAAAACCTGACGGTTCCTGGAGATTTTGCATTGATTTTCGCGACTTAAATAAGGCCAGAAGGAAAGATGCATATCCATTACCTAACATGGATTCAATACTGGACAAATTATGACAGGCCAAATATATTAGTAAAATTGACCTTAAACAGGCCTACTTCCAAGTAGTCCTAGATGAAAACGGTTGCGAATATACAGCTTTTGCAAGCCTAGGTGAAGGATTGTGGGAGTTCATAGTTATGCCATTTGGACTTGTAAATGCCCCAGCGACCTTTCAACGATTAGCTGACACATTATTTGGTCCTGAATGGAAACCTCAAGTATTTCCCTACCTTGACAACATAATCATAGCAACTGAGACCTTCGATGAACATACAAAATATTTAGAATTAGTACTGCGAATTAGAATTAGACCGGACTAAAACAGTACTAGAATTTCCAGTACCCAAAACAGTAAAACAACTACGTAGCTTCCTGGGAATTGTCGAATGGTACTCGAGATTCATAAAGAATTGTTCGTAAATAAAGGTACCGTTACAAAAACTTCTAAAGAAACATCAAGTATTCTACTGGGAAACTGACAAACAAGAAGCATTTGACAAGCTGAAACGAGCATTAACAGAAGCCCCAGTATTAGCAAGATCAGACTTTACCCGACCATTCACGGTTCAGACAGACGCAAGCGATTTTGCAATTGGTGCCGTATTCACTCAAAACTTTGATAATGGCGAACACCCAATAGCATACATTAGCAGAACACTGACCGGACCAGAAAGGGCTAGTCTCTCCAGGCTAAGTGGGGGGGGGGGTGTAGTCGTTGACTAAGCTACATCCCTCGCCCTACCAGCAGATAAGTGCATGCACTGTGCTATTCCGACATCGACCAAAAGACCTTCGCATTGACCTGACTTATTTTCAGATCTACCATGACCCCAGGATCCTCGTCGCGAAGAAGAAGGGCCTGAGCCTGACGGTGAAGATCCCTTTGTCCCCAGGACCATTACGGGAACCAGGAAGCGGGAGACCATACCAGCTCAGGCACCGAAACCCGACCGCTATGAGGAGAGCCTTCGCCTGCGGGCACTCGCCACCATGCCTGGGTACCAGGAACATGTAAGGGCTCAGCCCACCATCGAGCCCCGCCCGACAGAAGACCCGTCAGCCTGGTATATCCAGGACATGGTGGAGGAAATCGAGCAGGAGAAGGCTCGCTTGGAGGCCATGGAAGTGATGGAAGGGGAACCACCACAACCCCTCCCGATGGGCCAAGAACGGGAGAGCATCCTTCGCTGGGCCCTCACGTTCCAGACCCGCGTTCCCGAGGCGGACTGGAGACGTGAGGAACGCCAGCGGATGGAGGTAATCCGTGCCATCTGGGAGGAGATGACGACGGCAGCTGACCAGGCGGACGGCGGAACAGCTGAGACTCTGTCCGAACATGGGACCTCCAAATCCCATTGTTCGGACACCTCAAAGGGGTCCCAGCTGTCCCTAGACGGACTGGAGGATTACCTGGGTAGGGGTGCGGAATCAGTACCAGCTGGGAAGGGGGAGACCACCAACGCTCAACCGGCTGAACCATCAACTCCGCCTCCCACATTCCATCACCCAGGGACAGCAAAATCATCCGCCTCCACCATCTCCGCCACCACAGCTCAGTCGTCCGTCAAACGCACCGCCGCCACCACCGCTCAGCCACCGACCGCCACCATCAACCGACCACCAACCACCACCGCAACCCCCGCCGCCACCACCGCTCAGCCACCGACCGCCACCACCAACCAACCACTAACCACCGCCGCAATCACCGCCACCACAATCGCACCACCAACCGCCACCACCGTCCAGCCGTCGGCCACAAAGAGTCAAGGTCACTCAGGCTGGTTGCCTGTGACGTCGACTCCAATTGGCCGGACCACCACCACCCGGCAATAACAACACCCATGATGGATCCCGTCGACCGTCCAGAGGTCCAGGGCCTGCACTACCGGAAGGCCAGCGGCAAGCGCCGCAAATACAATCCGCGACGCCACCTGCAGCTGGACGACCTGGTGGGTGCAGGGGATCCCTCCTCCGAGGGGTCAAAGAACGACCTACCTGGACCTCCGACCAGCCGCGCAGCAACACGATCAGCTGCTGCGGCTAGGATGCCATCCTGGGGTCGACTCCCTCGCCGGACCGGAGCTGGGTTCGGGCAACTAAGGGAAATCCCGACCGACCCGACGGTTGACCTCCCCCCCCCACCCCCTCTGAGCATGTTTCAACTGCTGGCAAACCGACCACAATTTCGGGAACTTCCCCCGTCCCAAAGAGGGACAGTTCTGCGGAAATTGTGGCCGGTGGGGGGGGGGGGGGTCGAGGTTTTCGACTGCCCGAGGTGTGCCGAGGCATACCACCGCCGACACCGCCCCTCGGACTCGAACAACCCGGTGGGGAACACCATCTCTCCACCGAAACCTCGACCGACCACCAGCTGCCGGAGTGGGTGGGATGAGATGGACAGACCAGCGTCCACTTCTTCCGGGACCGATTGGGACCGAAACCCAGCACAGGAGCCCCGCGGCCAAGATCAGGCAGCCCAACTGAGCTCGTACCCTCGGGAGAAGGAGGACCCTCCACCGTCTTACCTGGAGGCAACCCTATCCGAGGCCGAGCTCAACACCGTGAAAGGTCGGAGAGGGAGAGGCCGACGGCTAATACCGGGGCTATACGCCGCACCGGACTCTTCGCTTCATCTGCCAGACCATCGGCGGAGGAGCGGGCGAGGGAGCTGCTCCGGAGGTCCCATAACCATAGGACCTCCGATGACAAAGTCGAAACGGACCTACGCCTGAGGGAGCTCCAACAACTCCAGCGTGCCTTCCAAGAGATGGAAGAAATGGAGAGGCGCGATCACTCCCGCAGGCGTGGGTATCAGTAGCCCACCAGCGAGTCACCAGTTTTTTTTTTGTTTTGTTTTGTTGTTTTGATTCTTTTATTTCCTTTTATTTTCTTTCCTCTTTTTTTTCTTTCTTTTTTTTTGTTGACCGCAATAAACGCCAGGGCCAAGCCCTGGCTTAAGCTGACTGACCTGCGTCTTAATTGAATTACTAACCTCCTCTGACCAATCCTTACCGACCCAGCAAATGAACTTAATGGATCAAAGGAGAAGGGAGAATGCAGGACTCTGACTAGAATAGATCACGGAATCAAGGGGGAAACCCCTTCAGGTAAGATTTCTATATAACTGACGAGAACTGAAAACGCGGCGGCAAACAAAAGGGAACAAAGCAAACTAGCGGTACACGTGGTAGTGTACCGGCTTAGTGGGGGGTTCTGTAATGTGGTACATTACAAGGCCTTTCCTGAGCGTTGCATTATGTGCAACACCTCAGGAAAGCCATTCTCGTCCCTTGCCACCCCGTAACCAGTTGCACAAAATAAAATCAAACACGCCTTATAAAAAACGATTACCCTTTTTCATGCCCGAATAACCACACCGGAGATATTGGCGAAACAAACTCGATGAACGCGATCCGACGGACACTCAAAAGAAAAAAAAGAAAAAAAGGAGAGCACTACGGACTAAGAGAGCGCACGCACACACTCACAACCACGTGTTGCCGACCGGCGAAAAAACACAGAAACTTCACTGGGAAGTGCAACGGAAATGCATGTTGATGACACATGCAGATCCGTTACACTCCCAGGTACTAACATCGACACTCACGAAATACCGAAACACCTGCGGCGTGCAGAAAATCGCCGATTAAGTGGCAGCCGGCAATCAGCTGTGTCGGGCTGCCGAACAACATCGGCGACATCCTGAGCGTCACACACACTCACAACGATGAACACGCATAAACATCCGGGAAAACGTCACTTGACCGACACGGGAGCGCCCCAGGAGCCGCTCCAACGACCGTTACGGGAACACGAGGTGTACACGCGAGAGACCGAGCGGCCATTTTGAAGCGCCGCATGAGCGAGCGAGACAGAGCGAACGAGATAACTAAACAATAGTGAGCGAGACAGACTGAGAGCGAACGAGCGAGACAGAGCGAGCAAGATAGACTAAACAAGAGCGAGCGAGATAGACTAAACAAGAGCAAGCGCGACAGATTATATGAAATGATGAATAGAATTATATGTAAATGCGAAGATGGGGGCGCTACAATTGAGACGTCTTACATTATATATTTATTCACAACGAACTAAAATTAAAAATTAAAAAAAAAATGAACATTAAAGAAATACCGAATTATAAAAATTCGCATGCGACCGACACACCCCCTATTATAATAGCGAGCGACAAATACCCCGTTAAATTTAATCGATAAATTAACCGACAGAATTCGAACCTCTGACGAAATTCGCTGGTGACATCAACACCAATAAACGAATTAGAATAAAATTTGATTCCCGTCCGGATAGAAAAATAGATAAGAGTAGGGGTAGATCTTTCCCATCAATTCATGCTAGCTAACTTAGTGGGGGGGGGGGGGGGTGAGAGAGGGTAAATAACGACGAAAGTAGGAAAGTCAAGGAGGGCGCTGTATCCTTCTAATTTACTACGGAGCAATGATAAAATATTCGGAGGGCGCTACTGATATCCGAATTAGGATACCGACCAATAATAATATTTCTTCTCGGAAAGAGGAGAAGAAAAGCGATCTTTGACCGCGAAAAGTCGATTCTCGTCAATTTTGCCGCTGTTCTTCCAGCCAGAAGGAGTGATTGCGCCAACAGACTTTTCGTTACGCAGGATTAATTGCGCTAACACTTTCTTTTCACGCTGATTCCGTTAGCCGAAGATCAGCAGGAAAACCGTAAGTAGGCAGAGTGCCTCTCATTAGTAATAATCGCGGAGTGCGGGAGTGAATTTTTCGGTGCAGTAGGTCGTCGTGACGCGTGGATCCGTCGATGCCGGTGCCTATTGATTCGCGCTGACTTTTCCGCCGTTTCGTAGAATCGAACGTGAGTGTTAGGATCATACGGATTAAAATCAGTCATTAGGTTATTCGCGCTGACCTTTCGCCAATATAGTAGTTATTGTGAATGTAAGATTAGACGAATAAAATCATTGATCCTATTAGTCGCGCTGACCTGTCCGCCATTTCGCAGAATCGAACGTGAGTGTTAGGATCAGACAAAGAAAACCAGTGGTTAAGATATTCGCGCTGACCTTTTGCCAAAATAGTAATCTATTGCGAATATTGGAAGTAGACGAATTAAAACTCGTGATTTAATTATTTGCGCTGACCATTCCGCCATTTTTGTCAATCAAAGACCGACCGGAAGAATATTAATATTTCGATTATATCGTGTCTTTGCTATTTCATATAATTATGCAGAGTCATACTGACCCTAATTAATCCGACCACATGCTTATGAATTATAAAATAAGTCAATAAAAGTGATTGATTGTTCTTTATATGAAAATTTTACTTTTGTTACCCTGCTTCATTTGCATGCTGATTATTTTCAGCCGCGAGCGGTTATAATCGGGTAACGCTGATTCGTTATATTTTCGGTCCCCTCTATAGGTGACATACGCGCAAATCCGAAAGGACTTCCGACCTGAAACACGGAGTCATCATCTGCGCTGCCGGCATACCATAAACGAAGGGATAAAGAGGAATCGAATTCTAGGACACCGAGGCCTGGAGCAGAGGAGATCGCGAATACCCATCTGTTTGCTCATCCTGCGCAGTCGCCGTGATAACAAACCGGGATACGCGACGACCGACAGGCCCTACTCCCGACGATCGCCTTAGTTAGACGGCGGTCTGGCGCCCTAAATAACCGGGGATAGGGAGATCAGACCAGGCCTTGTGGCGAAAGAGATTCGGTAGAGCGGTTAAGACCCCCGAAATTTTCCACCACAAGCGTTAAAAAATATTAATTAGGTCGAAAGTTATTTGCAAAAAACTTATTGTTTATTGCAATTAAAATATTCACGTATTGACAGTTAAAAAATCTTTATACTTGGCCTAATCTTTTCTTTTATCTCTTGGATTTTTACTTAATGTTTAAAAAAGAAACAAGCAACAGACGCAAAAATAGAAGAGAAATCCGCTGCATAGATTTTTTGATGATAAAAATGTCCGTTACAAAAGAAAAAAGTGTAAATTTTTATATATCTATAGGACCCTCCATTGTTAAAATGTTGTTTTACTTATCAAACATGATTGGGGTATTCTTGAAACATTTCTAACGCTAGATTCAGATACAGCGATCCTCGAAAGGTAAGAGAGCTATTTTTCTAACTAGCATATATATAATATATCTTTCCCGTTGATGTGATCTTAAGTTGACCTTGATCTAGACTCAATGGGATCAAGCAAGCCTCAGATTTGGATCTAGTGACCCTGAAAAGCATAGAAATATTAATTCCTTCCTAAACGGCTTTGTTCCACTTGACCTTCAAATGACCTTGAACCTAATGTGTTGGGGTCAAATGGATTACAATTTCGGATTCAGCGACTCTCAAATCTATACAAATACTAGTGATTCCTCCTTAAATGGCTATCTTCCTCAATTTGACCTTCGAATGCTCTTGAACCTGACGGTACTATGATCAAAGAGATTACGGATCTTGGGAGAGGGGCATCTTGTGGTGACCTTAACTTCGACCTTGAGGGTCATTTTCAAGGTCATTTGAAGGTCAAAATTGTTTTTACTTTTCTATTAGTAGTAACAGTAGTCGTAATTTCTACAATACTTGTTTTGGGAGTGTCTTGGATAGGGTAAATAAATCACACCAAAGTGTACAGTACACAAATTGGTGTTATTTATCATGATAAAATTATCATATTTATTATCTTTTTTATTAATAATTAATCAGGAATCACAAAGCATTGTGAAGAAATCTTAATAAATACAAAAAATGTCGTTTCAAAATAATGTTACTCAAGTTAGAATTACGAACGGGTTTATGAAAACAACAAAATCCT